TCATGGAAACTAACATATAATAAAAAGTTACAATTCTGTAAGTAGTGCTCAGTTTTACTAGTGTAGATCCACACCACCTACAATTTTAAAATTTTTGCCACACATATTATTCTTAAAGAACAAAGAAAGGATGTTATGCAAAATCTGTACATGTATATATGATCTATCTCAGAACTACATTTTACCAGCATGCATGCAGTTATCCATTAGTTATTCCAATTAGACTGGAAGTTAAATAGGCCTATAGATTTTTGGAGTTCATTTTCGTATTTTCAGGTTCTACAAACAGAAAATGATCTCAACAAAATATTAATATATTTTTAATAATTTCCTCGTACCCATCACATAAAATGATGGGGTCTTGCATTAGATGGCACTAGCATTGCTTCCACCTCATAAATTTGCATGACCATGCTGACACCGTACCGGAACGCGGAGCGATCGTTTGTTGCCTGTAATATTCAAGGCCCTAAAAAGATAGAAGACTGAAGAAATGCACATAATAAGGAGCTTTATATTTTGTACGGTGAACCAAATATTATTAGGATGATAAAGTCAATGAGAATGAGAGGGGCGAAGCACAAAGCAGACATAAGGGATATGAGAAATACACACAAAGTTTATAATATGAATTATTATGAATTTTTCCACATCCTGTTGTCATCTATCTTATGGATCCATGGAATGTAATAAAATATGAATGTTGGAAAACTTTAAACAAAGAAGTCATTCGGAAGACCTAGACGTAGATGGGAAGACTATATGAAAGCGGATGTTGAGGAAATCTGGTGGAAGAATGTGGATTGGATTAAATGCTTCATGACAAGAACCCTTTGGTTTCATAAAAACCAGGGAATTCTTTTACTAGCTGAGCTGTTTTCTTTTTCCCTCAAAAAGGTCTGTGCTCCATGCAGATAGGATGGTTGTTATAGTTTCTAGTTGAATTGAAAGACATTCAGACGGATGATCAGACATGTAGCTCGCTAATGGGGCTCCGAAGTAACTTTTTTTCTTACCAAAAAGTCAGACAAGTAATGAATGATGCGAATGTTTAAGGCTCAGATAAGCCAAACGGCATGAGACGTTTGTACTACGAAGTACTGAAGCTTGAATAAGAGATGGCAGTGTAATGTGTAAGCGCAGTCTGTAGGAAGCATTATCAATGGTAGTTTGTGGTACAGGTGGCGGATGTTGTCACTACTTTGGCTGTCACGAAATATCACTGTCAGAAATGTATATTTATATTAGGAAATAATACACATTTAATCGTTGAGAGATATTATTACCGTCTTATTTTAATCTTTAAATGTATTGTTTATTCAACTAAAACCAATCAAGAGTGGGATACTGCTGTCAGTAGTAGAATACTGTAAGAAATTGGCTATTGTCTAAAACCCCGACACACCTCTAAACTGCAATGCGGATATCTAGCAGTAATCGTTGCTTATAAGCTGTGGTACCACGACACACGTGTTGTTTGATTTTCAGGTGCCAATAACACCAGTGTAACCAAACATGGGATCATGTCAGACAGACAATCACAGTGTTACAATTTCGAATATTGAGAATGGAGAAAAATTGTGTTATTCAATGCCACTCATTAAGGGCCACGTTTTCACTAAAAATGGAAATAAATGCATTAATTGCCCAACAGGCCAAATCATGCTTCATCACTACAATGACAAAGGTGCACTAATTTCAACAACAGAATGGCCTGTTGTCAACTCTGAATTTAAGTGTTTGGTAAGCCTCCTCTTAGAAAGGAATTACCTAATCCTGGAATATTGTGGCATCCAATTGAAACTGAGTGTAGAATATCAGCCAAGAAGGACGATGCTTCGTGTAACACCTGTGTATATAATTTGTCTAGGGCATGATGGACTCTTCCAGGCTCCAACAGGCATAGATAATACAGTACCAAGTGCGTGTGAACGTATTGCCCTAGGAGCACGTCTCATTCAGTCACTTACTGCAGAGAAACTTTATGAAGCCAAAGTAGAACGAAAAGCCTTTCAGCTGGAGTATGACTTGAACCGATCAGGTCCTGAATGCATTGTTTTTCGTAGTCAACTACCAGTGAAAGAAGCTCGAGTAATGGATCCAAGAGAATTATGGGAACATTTTGGTCGTGAGCTGATGATGTCACCGCTTGGTAATAAGGACCGTAAATTTCTTGCTTTTCTCTCTTGTACACGTTACTGTCCATCAGAGAATGAAGAACCACCTAAGACCCATGAAGATATATTGTCTAGAATGGAAGCACATGTTGCCCTTGGAGGTGGAGGACTTGCAATATTTGGTTCTGCTTGTCTTCACACTTGGCCACGACATGTGGCTGAAATAATACCAAGATTCCTCAATGTTAACAAAGTTGACACCAGATATTTTATGGATGACAGTTGTTACAGGTACAATTTTTCAATTATTACAGTGCAGAATATGAAAGTTATGGAGCAGAATAATATGTTAATCTTAGATAAGTAATTACTTCACAGTCAAACAATGCCAGCATTGTTACATAGGAAAATCTTGTGGTTAAAAGAACAGAGCAGATTATGTTACAGGTTTACCCACCATGTCTCACTTGATGTAAAAAAGTGAAAAGTAAAGCAACTAGGTTTCAAGATAGTAAAGTAAATGAATGTGACCAAACGTTGTTAATGTCATAATAGGTCACAAATGTGACTTGCCAGCAGTAAAACAGAATTGTCAGTGCCTCAAATACAGGGATAATATCTTGCTACAAGGCAACAACTGCTTTATTCCATATAACCTCCCAATTCCAAATTTACAGTTATCCTATTTTATGTCACTGGACACCATAAATAACACCAAAAGTCAATTCATTGTCATAAAATAACTCAATAATCAACAGTCAAAGAACTGAATTAAATATGTGTAAATCACATGGTTTTTCATGGCAGAAAGATCCTTCATTGATTGTTCATTGATTGTAAGAGCTACAAAACTTATCATCTGCTTTATTTCTGCAGGGGAACTTATGGTGGATGTTTTGCTACAACCTTAGGTGCTGTCTGTCATGAACTGGGACACACATTTGATTTGGGTCATACTCCAGATGGCATCATGGGACGTGGCTTTGACAATGTGAATCTTGTATTCACTTTTCGAACCTGTGAAGATAATGAAAGCAATAGCCATGATGGAAATCAACCTGTTTCGGGTCCCATCTATAAAAAACTAGAACAGCATTCAACAATAGCCTTTACAAAGGTCCTTAATGTGTCGTACACTGTGTCATCACCTATTAAAAGGCTGCGAAACAAAGCTGAGGAAGATGTTGCTACATTGTCAAATGGCTCTGATAGAAATAATTCAGATATTGGTGACTTGTGTGAAGCAAACCAAAACAAGGTACAAATAATTAACAGAAGGAATGTGAAACATACAGGAAGACAAAACAGTCCTCAAATTCAAGCTATTGCAAAAGATTGTACACAGTGGTCTAAAAACTGTGCAGCATTCTTAAGTTTTCATAGGTAAGTACTTTGGTTTGGTTAATGATCAACCCACTGCTAATAGTGATCCTGACTCGTGTGTAGAATGAAAGGGCAGAGACTTAACCCAGAGACTTCCCTCTATGATGATTAGCCATTTAAAAACAGTCCCCAGGCCTAACTCATGCACCTTTTGAAAAGAGTTATTATTTGCACATGCCAACTGGAATATTATTCCAAATGGCATTAAATTAAATATGACAAGAATTCTCATGTGTACATAAAATTTACTATTTTAAGACCTACTTTACATTTCACTCATTTTCTCTTAAAACATTTTCCCAGAAGTGACAGAAAAATAATAATGTATGATCTGCTGAAATAATAAATTATTTGAATGAATAAGTGTCACCAATGGATAAGAGGAATATGATTAGAGAATTTGTCTTGCTTTGTCACTTCCCATTGTGTTCAGTCAAATAGAAGGCTGTATTTAGAATTTGTACTCCCAGTACCAAAATTGACATGATAAGAGCATTCAGGCAGGGAATTTGTTGACTGAGTATACTGTTGGTATCTAAAGAAGGATTCCTTTGTATGTACCCAGTTAATATACATACTATTTGTTTCAATAGACGGTCAGAGATTATCTACGAACTGGACAATGATTTTAAATCTGTCACAAATATTACGAATTTGCCTCTAGCATGTAATACAGTAAGATAAAATTATTTAATTTATTTTCCATCAGCCAGTTAAATATTGTTTCATTCACATATCTAGAACAGGTCAGGAGCTTATACAACTCAACTGTCTAGTGAGTGCCCAAACTGCTTTTCATACAAATGAAGACATCGGAAATATACATTTTGTAGTGTGTTTTTGTTGCTTTAGGTCATGTATTAATTATTTTTTGATGTAGTGAATTATACAATTGGAGATTAAATTAAATTAAAAGTCATAAATTACATTATTTACATCATGCATGCAAGTTTTAAGTACATCTATTTCTGTTTGTGAAATTGTTGTATGTATTTTTCTTTAAGTTAATATGAATTGGCATTACTGTGTTACTCATTTCAGGTGGTTTAATGATGAAAATAGAATAAGCAAATTGTCAGCAGCAATTAGTTTTGATGAAAGACAGTAAGTAAAGCATATAAATATTATGAATTATGTGAAATGCTTTATGGAGAACATTTTGCTTGAATATTTTAATTTTAGCGATATTTATATTATCTGAATTGCATGTTGGTATTAGCTAAGGAATTTACAGGTTTGTCTTATGAAATTAATCCAAGTACAAATGAATTTGTGGATTTATAACGCTTATTGCCAAGTAGGTCCCTGATATTGCAAACTTTTAAAATGTGTGTGTTGTTGTTAAATGTTAAATCCAAACTTCAAACTCATTAAATTAATTTTTAAAAACACTAGTTATTGGGAAGGTAGAGTCAGAATCAGTTTACATAGAATGGGTTAAGATCCTTTCTCAACAGTAGCTTTGAAAATGGTCTTAGCTGACATTTGAACTGGGTGCCTCCAAGATACAGGTCACATTGAGGACAATGGAACCAAACAGTGTTCTTCACAAGTCTCCAGTTATACTTCCAAATGCTTCCTGTAGTATGCCACTCAGTTCAACCATCATAGTTGGGCAAGACTCATAATTCTCTCAGCTTTGTTCTAGTGAAACATATGTTGAGATTCTGGGTTTTTGTTATGCTGTGTTGGTGACTTGGCTGCAGCATAAAATAACTTAATTGTCACTTACTGAATAATGCAGCTTTTGTGGATTGAACATTTCTCTGCCAAGTAAATACAAACACTTATTAAGAAACAAAGTGGCTGTCTTGGCCCCTCTAATGGAAATGTGAACCGCCATGGTGGTCTAGCGGTCAGAACGCTGGGCCTGTAATACTGGGGTCCCGGGTTTGATTCCCGGCGGTGCTCAGATTTACAACTTGCGTTGAGCAAGGCCATGGTCTAGGCATCATGGAGTTTCCTCCGGGGTTTCCCCGGTTTCTCCATGGCATCCCAACAATTACTCCACTTTCATCATCATCATCTCAAAAAAAAGGGGTCACAGCAGGAGCATTAAATGTCGCGGTCCCGATTGAACCCATGTACTGATGGGTCGTGAATCCTGCTAACCACCAATGCACACCATGCTGAATGGTGTGTACTGGACACGAAAAAAAAATGGAAGTGTGAACATTTTACCATGGCAACATGACTCAAAGAATTCTGCAACGAGAAGTCTGCAGACAAGAGTTGGTGTAATTGCTGGTGTAGTTGCCCTAGAAATTCTCCTGGTTTAAAAGTGAAACACAACTAAAATCATCTGTGAAACTCAAACATTTCCAAAGAGCCCAAATATTTAAAAAGCTTCTGAAATAGCTGCTCCCAAAATTTAAAGCAGAACTGAGAATGTGGAGTCCCATGGCTATCTGATTCTAGAAATTACAGAAGGTGGTAAAAAATCAACAGAGGCAAGCAGAAAGACGTCACGGGCCAAAAGTTTTTGGCTAAGCTTTTCTGCTTGAGCAGGCTTGAAAACTTCATCTACTGAACTAGTTTTGCAAGGCTGGAAAATAGTTGAGAATTCAGGTTTACATGTAGCCAATAAGTCCAAGTCCTTTGCCTCTGTGAACACTCATGAATATTAAATTTTAAGCCAGAAATGATGATACAAGATTTTGATGACAGAAATTATTAAAATATGTTAAAGGGAAAGTTGTAACAATGATAACAGCATTGGTTCTGGTCGCTACATGAAGCTGTGTCATAGCTTATGCATGTTAATTCCTTTCCTTGTATTGGATTATATAATGCGTCATCTGTTAAGACTAAATTTTAATTCTGTATATGTACGCTTCAGGAATGTGATGTCATCTCCAGCTGGTGTTCGTGTTGTAGAAGTACGGGATGAGAGTGGATATGTTCTCTCATCCTGGCAATTCTTGGAGTCTGGTGGTGTTCTAGAATTTGCATTGCCATCTGATGCCTTATCAGCACAATCCATTAATTTAATAGCAGAAGACTCTGTTGGAAATATATTTAGATATCATTTTGTTTAATTTTTGTTTTTTGATTTGTACTTCATATTGAGGACATGCCAGGAGGGTATATCACTATATTTTAATAATTGGAGATGTTTGGTCTGACGACATAAAGTAGTGGGCCGCATATCATGCCAGAAGGGTGTAATTCTGACGCTGCTCCACAAGAAGATACTGACACCTACATTTGGGCACATGAATACTAATAATGCACATTTATCAAACCATATAAGCGTAAGAACTTAGTCTCCTGTAAATAAGTCATTTTCTTGATATGCCTTTCAGCATGGTGTCACAGTGGTCGCGCGGTCTGAGGCGTGGGCCTTGTGTCGCTGGGACCGTGGGTTCGAATCCCACTCAAGCCATGGATGTTTGTCCGCGTTTCTCTGTGTTGTGCTGTCCTGTATACAGGTAGAGGCCTTGCGACGGGCCGATCCCTCGTCCAAGGAGTCCTACCAGAATTCTGCAACGAGAAGTCTGCAGACAAGAGTTGGTGTAATTGCTGGTGTAGTTGCCCTAGAAATTCTCCTGGTTTAAAAGTGAAACACAACTAAAATCATCTGTGAAACTCAAACATTTCCAAAGAGCCCAAATATTTAAAAAGCTTCTGAAATAGCTGCTCCCAAAATTTAAAGCAGAACTGAGAATGTGGAGTCCCATGGCTATCTGATTCTAGAAATTACAGAAGGTGGTAAAAAATCAACAGAGGCAAGCAGAAAGACGTCACGGGCCAAAAGTTTTTGGCTAAGCTTTTCTGCTTGAGCAGGCTTGAAAACTTCATCTACTGAACTAGTTTTGCAAGGCTGGAAAATAGTTGAGAATTCAGGTTTACATGTAGCCAATAAGTCCAAGTCCTTTGCCTCTGTGAACACTCATGAATATTAAATTTTAAGCCAGAAATGATGATACAAGATTTTGATGACAGAAATTATTAAAATATGTTAAAGGGAAAGTTGTAACAATGATAACAGCATTGGTTCTGGTCGCTACATGAAGCTGTGTCATAGCTTATGCATGTTAATTCCTTTCCTTGTATTGGATTATATAATGCGTCATCTGTTAAGACTAAATTTTAATTCTGTATATGTACGCTTCAGGAATGTGATGTCATCTCCAGCTGGTGTTCGTGTTGTAGAAGTACGGGATGAGAGTGGATATGTTCTCTCATCCTGGCAATTCTTGGAGTCTGGTGGTGTTCTAGAATTTGCATTGCCATCTGATGCCTTATCAGCACAATCCATTAATTTAATAGCAGAAGACTCTGTTGGAAATATATTTAGATATCATTTTGTTTAATTTTTGTTTTTTGATTTGTACTTCATATTGAGGACATGCCAGGAGGGTATATCACTATATTTTAATAATTGGAGATGTTTGGTCTGACGACATAAAGTAGTGGGCCGCATATCATGCCAGAAGGGTGTAATTCTGACGCTGCTCCACAAGAAGATACTGACACCTACATTTGGGCACATGAATACTAATAATGCACATTTATCAAACCATATAAGCGTAAGAACTTAGTCTCCTGTAAATAAGTCATTTTCTTGATATGCCTTTCAGCATGGTGTCACAGTGGTCGCGCGGTCTGAGGCGTGGGCCTTGTGTCGCTGGGACCGTGGGTTCGAATCCCACTCAAGCCATGGATGTTTGTCCGCGTTTCTCTGTGTTGTGCTGTCCTGTATACAGGTAGAGGCCTTGCGACGGGCCGATCCCTCGTCCAAGGAGTCCTACCGAATGTCTATAGATCGAGCCAACAAAAAGTTGGGACCCGCAGTGCTCAGGCACTTGAAGAACGGGTCGTCCAAGTATCCAAGTAAGTATATGCCAAATGTTTATTGGCTTCATAAACAAATATACGATTAGAATGTATCGGGTATTGAGACATAGCACTCAGAAATCCATTGCTTTATCATTCTTTTAGAATCTCAAGGACATTTTTGTTGTGCCAATGGATACTGAGGTTGGAGGGTAAAAATAAGATAATGGATTTCTCCATATAATAACTGAAATAATTCTTCACATTTTAAATATTTATTCAGTATACTATTTTCATATCTATTTATTTACCGGTAATATTTACTCGTGCTTGTAATTGAAGCATTTAAATAATCAGTATTGAACATCTCTGATACTGCCAGTACTGCAAAGCAAAGCTTCAGTGAACTACTTAAGCCGAGTGCGCATAAATGAAGTGTTACTTGTTTGTCAGTTATTAATGAAAAGAAATAACATGTTTCACACTGCTGGCAATGAAATGTTTTAATGTAGCTATGGAAAGTCAAGAGAAAGCAGGGAAAAGCAGCAGAAACATTAATGCAAAACTTTGTTTTCTCCCTTTAATATGTTTAATATCAACCATTGTTTTTAAACAAATAGCTGTATTTTGTTTGATGATTTAATAAACCAAAGAGAATATTTGAAAGGGTTTGTCTTCCTATAAATACGGGAATGTATATTATCCATATTTATCCAGCACTTAGTGATACTTCAGTGTTTCAGTGCCATATCACATGCAATAATGAAATGAAGTTACACTTCTAAATGAATGTTCATGCATCAATGTCATAAGAGTCATTGTTTCAAACTATTATAAAATACAGTTATAAAGTTAATTTCAGTCTCTAATTGTTACTTTCAAATAACTGTGTTTTTCAAAGAGAATATTTTGGAATCATTCAGTAGATTTTGTCCATGCTAGGGATAAATGTTTGCAATATGCGGTTATTCCTTCCTTCTCTTTTTGTGTTTGAAAATGTGTAAGTATAATTTTGACGTAAATACGTCCATACCGAAGGGTCATTCGGCAAAAAAAGCTTTGGTTACGAAGATGTGCAAGATCCAGCGCACGAGTCACCTTTAAACGTTCATTCCTCAGGAATGGTAAGAGTAAGGGCAATGTAACCTATATGTAAAATGATCAGTAAATAAGGACCTTTAAGAATCTAATGTATTTTGTTGTAATTATAATTGTTTATACATTTATTGTAATTTTAATGAACCAATGTGTACAATTTTCAATGCATCTGGCGCGTTAAGCGCCCGCCTCTCGAAAACCATAAGAGATGGATCTGGACATATTGCGTACGAAATACGTATTACTTCTTGAGCTTTCCATATCTGTTTTCAGATTTTACATACCACAAATGGTTTAGGTTCTACAAACATTTATTTATACAAATAAAGGCACCTCCCACTTCACGCTACTGCTGCGTTTGTGTTTTGCGTCATGATATGTAGAGCTAACAAGATGGATGATATTGAAGCTAAAAGAATCCGATGATGATAATTTAAATACAACGACGTATTTACGTCAGATTCTCCGGAACCGTGGTTCCACTGTCAATTTTTCCTATTCCTTCACTCTAAATTCAGATATTTTTGAATGGCAGTAACAAATCAAAATCATAATGAATTCTTCTCTGGCTACCAGCCATGTAGCTATGGTAGCCCAAGAAGAATTTATTATACTTAGTCACAGTGAAAGCTTCAGATCATACAAATCAAAATCAGAAAAAAATAAGTAAAATAAAAAAGCAAGAGTAGATTAAATTTTAGATGTTCCTGCCACCATTCATTTCAGAATCTCGTCTTCCCATCTTCTACCTGTCGAGCACAGATTGCACAAAAACTAATCATTTGTTGGAGAGATACAATTTCATTCATTTGACTGTAGTCTTTTACTTTCAGTAAGCCTTTGGGTTTACAAACAGTGTTGTTTATTGAAAGTAATATTGCAGTAGGCAGAAGTTTTTAATAATTTACAAGGAAATCACCGATGGTGCACTGTGTAGCTTGTAATATAAGCAGAATTTCACTGCTCAACGTTATATACTACCTGTCTGAAGTATCACTGAAGCCAAGGATGCAGAACATGTCACAGCACTTGTTTCTAATATATGTAAATATAAATTAGGAGTTATAGAACAAATACAATACTTATTATATAAATAACACTGAAGTTCTAGCCTCATTTGTGTGTGCGCGCGTGTGTATATATTATTATTATTATTATTTAGTGTTCTGTCTGACGACAGGTCCATTGTTCTGCCCAAAAAGAGCTCTCCAGTTTTCCCTATTCTCAGCTTCTCGTTTTAACTCCTGTATATATATATTAATATTCTCTCAAAAATAATTTTCTTATGTATGAATAGACAACTTTTCATTAAAATTACTCAGTGGACGTTGATGTGTTGATCATAATATAAAAGAACCAATTGACACTCTGATGAACATGTCATGTGCTTATAAAATTATCTGACATGCCTGCTCAAAGGTTAAAAATTGATTAAAATGCCAGTACCATAAACAGAAAGCCGATGACTGCAGTGCCCTCATAAATACCACTGGATAACATCCGTATGGAAAAATAATAAAATTTATTGACTCCAAGAGACTGGAGAAAGTGTGTACTACAGAAAACCGGGATGTGTTACAGCGTCATAACCAATTCCAAACACTCAGGTTGCCCACGTGTTTCAGTGTTATCTGCTTCAAAAGGAAACAATCCATTCGCAGACAAAATGTCTGCTCCGAATGGTGGAATACCGTCAGAAGAAGAAAAGAACTTTTTTAATAGCGTACAGATTCCATTTCCAGAAGTAATTGATGGAAAAATTGATACTTTACAATTTTTAGAGTCTTCCAAAGGGGTTGCTAGTCTTATAGGTGAGTGACAAATAATAATATCAATTGTAGGTGTCTTCCTCAGACAGGCAAATATGTATACGCATACGAAATTTCTATGTCACTTGTACAGTTCTTGGTATGTAGAAATAGTCAAAAGTTAAACTCAGAATAATTTTGCATATTCTTGTACAATATTATGCGTTGTTTTGCAGCTGTAAGAATCTCATAAGCAGAGGTCTGACGATTATTTATAATTTTTTTAATTTGGTGGTGATTTTTTTAATAATATTGCATGTTTTGAATGCAAAACTTTTTAATTAACACTGAACAGGCGGAATTACTCACAAAGTTAGGCACGCGGGACTTGTGATCCAAAGAAGTCAGTTCTTCAGAAATTTACACAAACAATGTATCTAATGTTTTAGGCCCAAGTTGGCTAAGCCACAAGTAAGTCTAATGAAGCTGTGTAGCTTTGATGGCAGGATGTAGTACATATTAAGTCAGGAAACATATTTTAAATATCTCAGAATTTGCAGAGGGACCAAGAGCAGGCTTGCAGATATTTAGTATAAATTTAGGAGCCACCTCAGAACAAAATATACTATTCAGTGTATGTGTATATATGCAGACAATTCTAGGTGCTGTGCATGGTGGCCTGGTACCCAGGATTTGTGCTTGTCTGCTCAGACCTTAGTTCTTCCTCGGTATGAATCAAGGGCATTTTAAGGAAATGGTGTATGGTGCTAATTATTATGTGAATTGAATTTCATGTCTACTAGTGTAATCTGTTTTCTGGGATGATGACAAATGACTGATGGAAGAGCTTGTTTCTAATTTGTTACTATATAATAAAGCAAGGATGATTAGTATGTGTCCTTTCATTCAAGTGCAAATATGTGTGTTTATTATATTACAGAATCCAAAGCTGTGAACATTTTTTTGAGCTTTTTTTCATCTTCAGTATCATGATCTAGTGGCTCGAGGATTTGATTCTCAGTATTAGCAATAGAAGTCTGACAAAGATACTGATTCTATAAAAATAATGTGTTGTAATTTTTAATGAGTGTAATCACCTTCAAAATATTTGTTTTATGTCTTTATACATGTTCTCCATCTCTTCTGCAGTATGTGTGGTATATAAGCAAAATGCAAGCATACTGTGAGAGTACAACTGTAGACAACAAGAAAATATTTCTTAAGGCAGATAGTTGTTTGGAAGCATTTAACACTTGTAAACAGGTTTTCACATTGATGCAGTTAAGTAAATAAAAATAGTAGTACCAGTTGACATTGGAAATCTGACTTCACTCTCTTGACAGACCTCAATATACTCGATCTTTTCTGCTGAAGCAATTTTAGTTTTGCTGACAAAGTCAGGAATATTTGTTTGGTCTTTCTGTATTTTCTGGCAGCAGTACATATTTTAGCTTTTGATACAGCCTTGTCAAATAAGAGCATAAGAGAGTCTTGAATGAGAAAGGTTGTAAAACCATGTTTTAAAGGAATCGTACAATAAAATTCTGGAACACAGTACCTTCAGTTAGATGGGTTTGATTTCCTAAAATAAGTTTTCACATGTGCATGCTGATTATTAAGTGTGGGAAAATAAATTTGTAGAGGAACTGAAAATAGATAAGACATTTTTCGTATTTTCTAATACTAAAAACTGTTTTCAGATAAATTTGGCAAAGTATTTGGTCCTGTGAAATATGACATGACAGGCAACATTGAGGTAAGTGGAGTTATGATCAGGTTAATTCCTTGAAGTTCCTCCCCTCTCCCCTTTTAATTTGCATTTACATACCTAGGGTGGACACAGAGTAATTAAAGTGAAAAGTTCATGCTGTAATATGCATTTAAGTCGGTCTTTATGTTCTTTCTTTCTGAAAAACAACACTAAATTCTGTTAGCATCATTTCTGTTCAGTTATTTTCAAAATTTATGCCAGGGTGTATTTTATCTTATTACTACTTCTTATGCCATTTACATAAATATTAGTTCCTTCATCTCAAAATATTTTTACAACATTGTTTCTTCAAAACACTTCTTCGTGCCATTTCCAGGTATCTGCTGAGGAAGGTTTTGAAGTCACAAACCATTCCTTAAATAAGGCTTGGAAAACATATACACAATGAGATATGTGGTTTTCATGGTAATGAAGCTGCGAATTGTGGTATTTTGGATTGTGTTGTTGTGTAGTCTTGTAGGTGATTACCATCATTTCAGAGAAGATCACAGAAGACCACAGTCTGTATACATAATAATTATATCTATGAGATTATTTTTATAGATAGTGATCTATAATTTTGTTAGTATTCTTTTTGCTTGATAGTATTCTAACTGTAAAATCAAAATGTTACAGAAACTTACTCAGCGATATGACACCAATAAAGATAAACATATGTACCTGAACAACATGATTTTAAGTGAAAAGGAGTTAGGTGGAAATTATGCAACAGATGCACTTCTGTGGCTGAGAAGGTAAGAAATGTGTCCTGTACCTTTGAATTTGTCTTTTAATTTATTTAATGATACTTTCTCAACTGCATGGGTTACATATCATCAGATTTGCATTCTACTAGTGTTAGAAAGAAAGTAGTGGCAATTTAGGTGGTATATTGTTTTTTCCTTGAGCTAAGAATTATCTTTATTATATATTATTTAAATAAGCTTCAGCTTCAAAGGTTTAAACATTATAATGAAGTCTGATACAACACCATACCATTTTCTTTCCACTGGCTATACAAACAGTTCCTTGGAATACTTAGTCGTACACTGCACATGAGCAAGGGTAGCTCAGTCAGTAGAGCGTCTGACTATGAACTAAATGACCAGGGTTTGGTCGCCAGCAGAGGCAAAGAATTTTTATTATAGCCTCTACATTTAACCTGGGTTTGGGGCTTATCCAGCCTCCTATCCAGTGAGTACTGGGGGTCCTTTCTCTGGGGGTAAAGTATGGCATGGCTAAGGCATGACACTGACCAAAAGCCTATGTGGTGTGTAGCTCGACTGCTTTACTTTTTACAAACATGTACACTAACAGTTCTGTGCTAGCAAATTAAACTTAATTGGGTAAGAAAGCACATAGTCACTCGAGAGAATTGCTTTGTTACGTGGTATAAATGGTGACATTTAAAATCCAGACAGTTATGATAAATTAACCTACTAATAAGCTGTGTACAGTAATAGGTAAAAATCCAAGAATTCTAATATAAAATGTGCATACAAACAACTGTTTACACTATATAGGATATTAATGCCAAACGCGTTTCAACCTCAGGAGGTCATCATCAGTGGCACAAAGAAGGTTAATTCGTATAATATAAACCAAAAGATCATGTTTTAGCAAAGAATAAAGGTAAGTTCTTTACAAAACTATATATAGTAACACCAACTCCTGTGCAAACAAAAGCCAGAACTTACCTTTATGCTTTGCCAAGACATGATTTTTTGATTTATATTATACGAATTAACTTTCTTTGTGCCACTGATGATGACCTCTTGAGGTCGAAACGCATTTGGCATTAATATCCTACATAGTGTAAACAGTTGTTTGAATGCACATTTTATATTCTAATACACTACATGGAATGCAAGGTTTTAAGATCCAAGAATTCTGGTATAACTGTTATGGATCATCCCTGTTCTGTTGTTTGACAGGGCTAGTGGACTCTTCTGTAATGAAAGTATTTTCTGCACATTTTGTTTGAGTAACCAATATATAGTACAGAACAGGGATTGAGGAAGACCATGAAAATCCTTAGTCAGGATAGCAGACCTCTAGACAGGAAATGGATTCCAGAATTCCTCATATTTGATGCAGGTGTTCTAACCACTCACCTGCATTATCTAGTTTGATTTTATTTTGAAAAAATAAAGACACTGCTTTTTCTTTCCAAATTACTTTGAGGAATGCATACAAAATTTTGTTCAGGAATTCTCAGGGGAAGAGACCGCTTGAAAGACCTAGCCATAGGTAAGAATGTAAAATTAAAGTGAATCTCAGAGATATACAGCATGAAAATATGGACTGGATCAACTAAATTCAGGACAGGGTGAACTTTTGTGAAAATAGAGATGCATCTTCTGGTTTTATAAGTCAGGAATTTCTTAAAAGAAACAGGTACATAAAATTGCTTATTTCAGAGCCCTTCATTTCATCCATAAGTTCTTCCATTGTATATTAGAAGATTCTCGGCAAGGTAAGAAATCTGAAGACTTGATTCCATTTCTGAAGAAAGCCTACAAGGAAACACTAGAAGCATACCATGGCTGGATGGCCCAGAAATGTTTTGGGGTAAGTAATTTTGTAAGCGTATCTTTTTCCTGGTAGATTTGTTAAGCAATCTGATAAGATGTTTTGCCATGGCAAGTTTATTGCATGTGGGTCTTGATCTTCCATCAGTTACAAACATTGTTTTTGTCCCATTACAACTTGTTATTCTCATACTGGCGACCTTCCTTTTGGTTTCTGCCTTCCCTGAATTTTTCTTACATTTTTATTCTGTAAACTCTTTGATTTTCAAAAACTATCTGACCGCTCTGTCTCATGCTATCATTTTCCTGACATGTGGCAGAGGGACAAGGAAAGAGATATGACCGTACATTAGTTAATTGATTAAGAAGTAAAGGAATTGGTTAATAAATACAATTTTGTAACAACAAAGGTAATTTATATTCATGTGAATAATAGACTTGTAATGTTGAATCTGATGCTATTGAAACTGTATAATGTTATTGAACAAAATATGTTACATTAGCATGTCATTGACATTAAATGATGTCAAGAATGGCGAAGCGTGTACTATATTTTTCCCTTTCACAAATTTGCAGGACAGATCATAATTTTCATACACATAACCCAAGGTGCTTTCCTGAGCACAATGTGTTATGGATTAAAGTGAACTAAACATTTTGCAATCACACACGTCTCTTATTAGACTGAATCATGGGTACAAACAAAGGAAGATAGATCAGATTTTAGTCCAGAGATGGCGTGCACTGTTCTTTTGCTTTCAGTCCTCAACACAGTGTGTCATATTCCCTTGCTTTACATTAGCAATGTCAAGCTTTGGAGAAGGTACTACTTATTACTAAGTTAATCTGCAACAGCTTACAGCTTACATTTGGTGTAGTGGTTGTTATTGTTAGTTGCCTTCCTTTAGATTTGAATAGTTTTGACTAATGTAATTGCCCTATCAGCCAATATGTGTGTGAGACTAACAAGGGTGGCGGCTCGTCCATAAGAGCTGCAGAGCTGCAGCACCCCCTATAATTTTTCAAAAAATTAAAAATTAATTTTTTGTGTTTATATAATTTGTAACACTTTATTTCCTCTATATCATTATTTTAATATTGCCCCTTATGTTGTCATTATCCACTAATCGGCTGAACTGACAGTAAGTCTGAAGGCGAGGAGTGTGAAGCAGAACGGTGCTATCATCCGGCTGCAAGGATTTCAGCGTGGCTGGCCGGTCAAAAGTAGAGAGCGCGGTGTGAGGTGGAGTGAGGGGCAGTTCACTGGTACAGTGCGTATCGGGGCTGCAAGGTTCGCAGCTTTGCTTGCTTGTCACAAGTTGACTACACGGTGTGAGGTGAAGTGAGGGGCAGTTCACTGGTACAGCACGTTTCGGGGCTGCAGTTGCCACAGCCGGCTCATAGTAAACATGCTTGCCCGTTACCATGTGTTTTAGACTGGTTTCTGAATCGCAATCTGTTTCGTGGTTATTGTTAATGAGTGTTCAATAATTTGTGTGCCGACTATTTTTTTGCTCCGATAATGACAATGGGCAAAGGAAGTGTATCATATTTACAGAAAATTACTTTTTCTAAATTCTTTGAGTGAAAAAAGTGACTTAAAAATAGTTAAAACATCGTCGTGCACGTATGGGTTTTCTCCTGATGTAAATTTACTTTTCATTTATTTATATTGTTTTGTGTTGAAAAACTATTCTGAGTTTTCCCCCTTGCACAGCACTACCACTGCTCTGACTCACGAGCCGCCACTGAAGGGGACCCAGTACTCTTTGGCTCAGGTTTTTGCAGTATGGCTGTGGAGCCTGTTATGTTGTTATAAGGTTGTTCTTTTAACTGATTGACTTTAGAAAATAATTGGATATTAAGAATTAGGTAATTAATCATACCATTTAATTGTGTGTGTCATTAACTTGGGATTAACATACTGAAAATGTAGTGAATAATGTTGGGTACTGACATTTGTATTTTGATATAGCTGCTATCTCGGATGTGCCCCTCACGAAGTGAGCTGATGAGGACGTTAGCTTTAGGGCGAGAAAATCGTGAGGAGGCAGTGCTACGTGAAATGGCAATCTTCCTTCAAGGATTAGACTCAAACATACAAGCAATTATACAACTTTATTTAGAAAATGATTTGGAATCCAATGCTAAAGTTTAAATACACGTTTACTGTGCTAATCAGAGTTTTTATTATCCATTTAAATTATCAACTAATGGAGCACAATAAGGGGTAAAACTGGGTTTCTGAATGCATCAGGGTGGCTAGGTTATTCAATATTTTCCAGCTCATTGTGATATCTCTCACTTTTTTATAACTTGGAAATGTTTCTAAGTAACAATTTCTTTTAAGTCCCTAAGTACTAGTGAGAAAGAGATGGTGATAACTATTTTGCAGGTTAACCCTTTGTGGTCCTATGTCGGACTGAGTCCGCCACATATTTTACAAATTTTTTACGTGATCTGGAGTCAAACTGAGGCTGGCAGTGTCAGCATATCATTCAACCTTCTTCTTTGCACTAGTCCTATCCAAGTTTTCCTGGTAAGACTTTGTGTAACTTACAATAATGGAAGGAGGCAGGAGGGAAAGGTCGTTTTATTCTGATACATGTCCAAGGAAGCCAGGATTCCACACCAAGTGTTTTGCCATTCATCATATAATGAAGGAATACCATATAGTATGTCTAGCTGTCATATTTACTCAGAATAGAAGTATTTTATATCTGATAAAGTTATAAAACAAAAATCCCTTCTTCCTAGTAGGATATTATATTTTTTTAATTATTTTTGACGCATATAGCAATCCACCACTGACATATGCATATTCATTCATATTCGTATCAAGCATTCTTTAGTGACTTCATCGTTTACACTTCAAGTTCTGTTTCACTTTTGTGGTGTTGAACTTGGTATTGATCTTTAAAACACAATCAGTGCAAAAGGAAGCATAGCTCTGAGATTATGAAAACCAATGCTTATACATTGTATATCTGCATGCAGTAAGAGATGCTTAGACGTCGCCAAAGTCATATCTATCGACTTGGACTTGCTTTGTTCTCTACCGAATGACATTAAGCAGAAAGTCAACAGTTACTCTACGTCTCACTAATGACAGTGGTACAGTCCGTGAAAAGTATTTCACATGGTCAGTATTCAAACAAGGGGGACTGTGATCATTTCAGAACATATTTCCACCATATTTAGCAAAGTTTCTTCTGTTTTATGCACGTTATAAAAGAAACTCAAACCAGTTCATAATAGTAGTTGAATTTATACAGCTTAGTGGTATTTAAATAGACAGCAGAGAGCCATAGTTATATTTAAAAGGGACCGCAAAGGGTTAATAAGTATCACGCTTTAAGAGAAATGTACAGTTTTTTAGATTTTTTGTATAAGCTGATTATTGTATTGCATTTTATATTGGTACTTAATCATGTAAATCATTTGTGCCATATGACATGAAACTGTGGCCTATGATAGTGAGGAATATTTATAAAGTGTATGTTAAATAATTCATCTTGAGTTTTCCAGTACTGTAAACATGAATGTGAATGAGATTCCCATCCATGGATTGCAAATTATGCAACTATGGAAGTACAGTTGTTAAGCCACCACTTTGGATATAAAATATGTAGTGTGTAGAATACATAAATTTAATCTGTAAGAAAGTACAGATAAGGAGTTGCTCAATATTATTGTGATGCACACATGAGGTATCACTTGATTTTTCAAGATTCTGTTTTAGTATATGACACTGAAAGCTATGAATATGAATATAAAATAACATGATTTTTCCAAATGGAAACTCAGTTCTGTAAAGCATGGGTAATTAATATTTGAAGAATAAACATAAACTTTTGAAATAATTGCTTTTTAAAATTACACTTTTTAATAGCCCTTTTGAAGACTATTTACATTATTGTATAGTTCACTTTTATAAATGCACATATGTATAGTGTTGTAAAATGTGTTAAGTTTACATAGAAATAAATTATTGTCTTACTTAACTTGTTATTATTTATTGGCAATTTTCAGTAGCTGTTCATTTAAATTATGTGTCACATAGGATAAATCCTGGACTGGAAAGTAAGTGTGTTCTGGGTGAGTGCATGTACTTTGATGGGTCAGAAGATAGTTGCAAAGTGCTTCAGGCTTTCTTGTCCAAGATCCAAGAAGGAAGTGGAAAGGTTAATGTCAGGTTTCTTTTTTGGGAATAAACTCCATCATCATATTCATGGTTTAGGCCTGTTGGGTTTCATATTCATCTATTTCAGCTTGGTCCATGGTTGGATGGCCAGGAGTTCTTCCTAAAGGGCAGTAATGTAGTCTCTTGTTGGGGATATGCTCTTCATCCTTTCTACTTATATGCTGTAAGCAGTTTGTTCAAAATTATTCAAAATTTGTGTTAAGACTAAATATTCTAAATAATCAAAGTTATTCCCTGATATCATTCTTATATTTTTTGGCAGTGTGTATCAAGCTACTGCTCTCAGGAATATAATTGCAAAGTGACTCATGCAGGAAGATTGAGTAGTGGCTGTGAGGATCTTGGGTGGGATTTCGTGTATAAGAATGTGGAGCCAGTGCCCACACGTCACCCTATATCTGGTTGGATGATCGTTCACCTCTGCTTAGGCATGTGAACGTGAGACCAGCAGTCAAGCTAGTCGGCTTTGGCTCTCTGGAGCTGTTAAGCCACGGATTTAATTTTTTTTTAATGTGGAGCCAGTGGGATGGAGAAGACATTTACAGAAGGGAACATTGCATCACCTTCTGTGTAAACTGTGTTTTCTCCTGATGGTCACTAGTCACATGTATTGAGCAGGAAAAATGACTGGTTCTGGCACTAAGAGGAGATATCATTGAAAGAAATTAATAATAAAACTTAATAAAGGAAGTCAACAGAAAGGAAAAGACTAAGAATGTGTATTGAATTCTGCAGTCAATGTTATTAATGTACCCCCCAAAAATTGGGATGTAATTAAAAAGCTATAGAAGGTACATGTATATGAATGGATTTAGCATGTTTACGCTGGTAATATTCTTACTGAAGATCATGCATTCCACGAGAAAGCCAATGATGTTGCACTGAAAATGTAAATCATGTTTAAACATGTAAATGATTGGCTGCAAAGTTTTAAACAGCTACATAATGTATCAATGCTGACAAATAATGGTGCATGTACTGTAGATGTACAGTTCACAGATCAGGAGAAAATCCCTGCTAGGAATTCAATATACGCGCATGCGCAAGATTTCGCTGTGAGTGACGACCCATCCTAAAAGCATTTGTTATAATAATAATTTATTTACATTCCATGGATCCATAAGACAGTCAGATGATGATAGGATGTGGAAAAAATCATAATAAAAATAATAATAATAATACAATACATATTATAAAGTACAATTCGTACTATTATATAAATTTCACATAATACAAAACAAAGTATTCACCTAGAGAAATGATAAGCTACAAATAGATCTACCCATTACACACAAGAAAAATTTATCACTTATTTGTAAACAACATAAATTCATTGACCGAGTAAAAGGAGTGTGTAATTAAGTATCTTTTTAATGCTACCTTAAATTGCTCCTTCTTATTTACAAGACTTGTGAGACTTGATGGTAGACTATTGAAAATTTTGATTCCTGCATAATATGCACTCTTCTGAAAGCATGAGAGGTTGGCAATTGGTCTATGAAGCTGATTTTTATTCCTTCTGTTGACACTGTGTACAGCAGAATTAGTTTGAAAGAGTTCTTGGTTATTTACAATAAAGTTCATTAATGAGAATATGTATTTACAAGGTAGAGCTAAGATCTCTAATCTCTTAAATAGACTTCTACATGAATTTCTAGGTTTTACACCAGCCAATAATCTAATAATTTTCTTTTGTAAAGTGAATATTTTTTTACTGTTTGATGAATTACCCCAAAAAATTATCCCATTCTTCATTATACCGTGAAAATAGGCAAAATATACTGATTTGAGTGTGTCAGTGTTGCTGACATGCAACAGAGATCAAACTGCATAACATGTGCCACTTAACTTAGGTATCAGTTTATCAATATGATTTGTCCAATTTAGGTGATTATCAATTTGCAAACCCAAGAATTTTGTGTTTATTGACTCTTGTATATACTTCCCATTATAACCAATACCTAAAGCAAGCTGTGGTGAGTTATTTGTTATAAATTTTATTATATTCGTTTTATCTAGATTTAGGGCCACCTTGTTAGCAGTAAACCATTTACTCATATGAGACAGAACTATGTTTGATGTTGAACAGAAATCCACAACCACTGAATGAACAACAGACGACAGGCTTTCATGTGTTCAAATGGGTACAGCTTTAAGATTACCTCACAGTGGCACAGTGATTTAATCTAGAATATTATCGCAACACCCACAGAACACATTACAAGTGTGCTCACTACACGCTACTCTTAACTGCTTCATGTTTTCAGTCTGTGTGCAGTAGAGTAAAACTCTGACGAATCACACTTCCCACCAATAGCGGCCCTCTAGTCCAGCTGATAAGTAACATCCCCCTCCCCCCCACACCAGAAACGACTTCCCCCAGCAGGGTTTTTCTCGTCATCTGTGGACAGTAGATACTGCTGAAAAGTAGCATGAAACTATGTGCCAGTACTGGATCAGTATGCACTACAGGCCCTTGTACTTAAAAATAAGAGAGAAATGTTTTTTGGTTTACAAATGTGCAGCACATAATCATAAATGGCTTCAAGTAAAGCATGTGTCTTAGAATAGGTCACATGCAGCCTCTGGATCAAGGTATATTCCATCGTAATAAACGTGATAAGAATGTTCTTGTGAGATTAGGAAATGGAATGTCACTCGTGCAATAAGAAGTGTTGAAGCTTAGAATTTCATTTTAAGTACAGCTACCCTTAACCGTTTTGTCAAAGGGGCTTTACTTGTAGAGGAATTTGTCAGTGCGGAACAGGAAAACCACCATGACAATGATGAGAAAGCTACATGGGCAGTCCTGAAGTACCAAAAGATGACCACATTGAATTAAATGTATGGTGAGCCATGGCTCTAAACACAGAGTAAATGATGTAAGAGGAAAGGGATGAGAAGCAGCCAGTTCTTTCAAGCTGGATGTGGACAGAATCTTTACAGCTTTATAGTGTATTCCATATTAACATGCACAGGTGCAGATGACAGTGTTATAAAAGCTATTATTACAATGCAAAAATTAGTTTTCAAGATGTACAAGGACTCTCTTAACAGAGAAAAACTTTCACATTCACCATACTACCATTTTATTGTCTGTATTTAGTATAATTGTGACTAACAGATACAATGATTGTACAGAAAACAAGATTGTAAATGTACATATAGCACAACAATAGTGATTCGTTCACCATCATTTTGCCATTAACCTTTGTTAATGGTGCTAATGATGTCAGATTTGATGAGGCAGTAGCCTTTACATAGGCAGAGCATCTATCTGGGTGTTGATGTCATGGAGATTCCCCACTGAGTCACCTCCATGTATAGGCCTTTATGAACAGTGCCCAAACCAAAATTGGAGTGTCAATAAATATTAGTAAAATTTCACAGAAGTTCACCAGTTCTCATGTTGTTACATGTGTGTGTACAGAGAAACATATGAAAGCTAACAGGCACACTTTTACTTGCAAACATGCATATAGAAAGGGCCCCTGCCCCACTACAGACTCCAGGCAAGCTGTAGTAAATGGGGTCCAAGAATCTTAGGGTGGCTCCACCCCACAGACACAGTATGTACTGATACTGGGAACGACCCATTCTTCAAGTGCCTGAGCACTGCAGGTCCAAAATTTTTGTTGGCTTGATCTATAAACATTCGGTAGGACTCCTTGGACGAGAGATCAGCCCCGTCGCAAGGCTTCTACCTGTACACAGGACAGCACAACACAGAAAAACGTGGATAAACATCCATGGCTTGAGTGAGATTCGAACCCACGGTCCCAGCGACCAAGCGGCACAAGGCCCATGCCTCAGACCGCGCGGCCACTGCGAACCCCGACACAATATGTATGGGAAATAATGATGAGGATCCAATGGTCTTGGTTGGCCTCAATCCCATAGATCTGGGGTGGGCAGTAATGAAGGGTACCTCAGAGCCTTAGCTGACTCCACCACTAAGTTCCAGGGCAGTCATTAATTAGACTGTAAGGTCAGAGTTGGGCATGCCTCACATTACTACATGGTAACTGTCTTCCTAGGTGATATCAAAAAGGATTTTTCCATATGATCGCATGGTAACCCGTCTGGCTGGGGATTCCCTACCTAGTCACTTTTTGCATAGAGATATACATATATATCTTAATGTAAAATGCCTGATTTTGCCTAAGACTGGATTATTGTAGAAATTTTAGATAAACTTCTCAGTATCATATTTCATGAGGACCTGTTCAGCTGTTCTCGTTGTAACATACTGACAGACGTGGCAGTACTAATACTAATGCACTTCTGCAAGTCTGTTCCAATTATACCTAAAACTGACTCGTTAAAAAACGATGATTTAACATGATTGGCTAAAATTGGTGTTAATCTAGAGAAATCTAAGAATTTAACAAATTTTGGAACTAGTGTTTGTTTATTTCCATTCCAGTAAAATACTGATGCCAGCAGTAGCAACTCCAGTTGATGAGTCTGTGGTGAGTTACATATTAATTATAATTTATTTAATTTGACATTGTTTTTTGGTCCCAGCGCTGAAAAATTTATGAGATCTTGCTGCATGTCTAGTGGCCTCATAGCTGTTATTATGTTAAAATAAAATGTTTTAAATATCTAGAAATTAGCTTGCATATATAAATATTTGTGCTTCATAAAAAATTTATATTGAATAGAAGTACTGTGAGATAAATAGACAGTGGTTCTAATGGCTTTTGATAGTGGTTTAGTATTGTCAAAGGAGTATTTTCTTTTGACATTATACATTATCATCATAAAATATTTCATTGACTGGCTCAATCTTCAGGCAAAAGAAATGTTCTATAGGGTCTGCTGGATAGTGATAAGAACCAGCTTCATCTAGTGGGTCCATGGAGTACTAATTATATATATATATATATATATATATATATATATACACACACACACACACACACACACACACACACATAAAAGATGCGGCCAGTCTCCATGATACACCTCTTTATCTTGAAAAAGTATTTATTAATGAGATCTGAGGTTCTAGTAATGCCATGTGGACTTGTACTACATTTTCAGAGGAACATTCTGCCTTCAATGTCAGGGCTTGATATTTGCGTATACTTTATACAGCAGATATATTTCAATCCAGTTTGTAGGCAAGATCAAGCCGACTCACAGAATCAGGCATGGCTTGGAACTGCATAACATGGAAATGATAAGCCTGATGCTTTGAAGCATGTCTGAGGGCAACAAATCCAGAAACCAATTGTACTGCTAAGAATGACAGCATTACTCCCTGTACAGCACGTTCAATTGGTAATGGCACGGTCTCTTCATTCACAAACAAGAACAGCTGTAGAGGCAATTGCAGAAGCAGTGATAGCATCCAGAAGCCAGCTAATTCAGGTATCTGTGTGAAACGTTAATTCAGTTAATTTCATATCGAAGAAAACTGCAATACTTGAATAAATGTTCTCTTTCAATTAAAATTTATAATAGGGCACAGTGTCAGTCCCATCAAAATATTCGTGACAAACATCAAATATTAATTAAAATGTCACTAGTAAACATTTAAATGTATTTTTTCATGTTTATGACAGAAGTATGTAACAGTCATTAGAATTACTGGTTGTAGCTTGGGTGGCAGGATTTCAGTTCTTGGAAGGTGAAATGGGAACTTATTTTTTTCACCACTATGCCCAGAATGACTGGGGCCTACTTTAACTTCTATTCAATAAGAATAATTTTTGTGAATAAAACAAGTCAATACATGAAACTGACTGACCAGTCACTTTCATCTACCACTTACGTTACTTATACTCGTGATGTATTCTTTGCTATGGAAATCACTTTATCTTCGTATTTATTTAACAGTGAGTGTTTTTTATATTTATTACCCCTGTTCCCATATTCTGTAGATGCTCACAAATAGCCATTGTGCACTTTATTCAGAACTGCATGACATTGCATGTGATAACAGTGCTGGATATATTAGTCAATTGTGTGTGTTTACTCGTGCTGTCAGTTTTTTTCATTTCAAAGTCTAGAGAAGCAGGACCCAAAAGACAAGGCAATATGGATATAAACAGGTTGTTTCATCTGGTCTAATGACCCCCGCACAAATCTGTTTCATGTTTAGCTAATGATTTCTGAACTGTAGTATATACATGGCTAACTGGGCCACAATACCATTAGAAAAGAAACTCTAATTAACAACTGTTAGGTGTGATTCATTTTTGTCTATATCATTTATCTGAGTGTTCCCTTCATAATGAATCTAACATAAGTGACATTAGTAATAAGTTTAAATTACTTTTTCTGTAAGGTTGCCCAAGTAGCCCATATACAGACGCAGGCACTCGATGCCAATCACAGCAATTAAAACAGTCACCACTGTGAAGCGATATATGTGGCTTAAGCATTCATACTGAAATTAAAACATGTTATAAAGCAGTGTTTCCTTCTCATTGTACATAGCTAATATACAGATATGCCTTTATGTAAGGCAATATGTGCTTGTTTATCCATGTCATCTTTCAAAGAATGTCCTGTAATAGGCCATGGAAATCAACGGATATATTTTAAGCAAGCAATATAATTAAGAGAAAATGTGTACTGTCAATTTTTCACACCTATACACATATTACCTCTTATGCTTATGACATAGAAAGGCAAAAGTCAAAAAAATTCCTACAATTTAATATTCTCGTTTGATCGATGGAATTTCAATATCTGATGGTTGTAAAATATTACGTAGCAGATGTTAAATTTATTGAATGACTCTCCTCTACTTTTTTGAAAAAATCTTTATAGTATAATAATATACAAGTGACTAAATACAAAACTGTCCCAGCTGTCTAATGTGTGCACTGCCCCACACTACCCATAAACAACACACATACACATATAGCCTATGCATGCATATACACTCACAGGCATACATACAGATGGGCAGACTATTTTCTGGCTGTATGCAATAGTATGACATTTCAGCAACTTATTTACAGAAAAAAAATGGGTACTTGTGGGTTATCGGGACACATCGCTTTAAAAATATGTTAGGTTAGGTTAATGTGTGTGGACAGCAATAAATAACTAAACGAACTAACAGATAACAACAACCCTACCCTAACCTACCTATTTTTAAAGTGATGTGTCCTGATAACCCACAAGTGCCAAAAAATGAAACAAAAGTATAAATCTATTTGTAAAACTGAGGGAAAAACAGAAGGTCAAAAAAGGCTAAACTTCTCACTGAGGTAAAGCTGTTTTTTGTTCAAGCATCATGTCAAAAAGATATTTTAGAGAATTAACTACAGCAAGTTAACTGTATTGGCACCTTTGTTTCTATAAACACTGTTTATACATGTGTGTGTGTCTTACATTTTCTTCATTGCAAATGTGAACATTTAATTCATGTGTGTTGGGGGGGGGGGGGGGTGCTAGTTTCCGAACTAGTGCAGCTTCTCTGTCTGATTTATAATAAAAGAGTGGCACTTAATTTGTTCCAAAATACTACTTACTACATGATGCAGTAACTGGAATTTGATCTCAATTTTATAGTAATAGTATGTACCTGTTTTAATTTTCACTTAATTAAATAAAGATCAAATTTACCTGTTTGTCCATCTTACCTAAATAACATTCTGCTGATGTGTGAACCAACAAAGCTGTACATTAATGTAAAAACAGAACAGTGTATAATATGTTGGGAGAGATTAGGTAAATTTAAAAGTATCCAGTCTAATTAAATGGTGTAGGGTTCTTATGAAATCAAGGTAGTTACTCAGCTGAGAAAATTATTCTTATCTTATATAACCTGGACACTCACTAGATCCAACCTAATTTTCCAGCTATCATAACTGACACACTGTCCTTTTTTATTATGCTTACATTTTCCTATATACATGTCCAGTTGCAGAATAATATAATACTTTACTTAAAAATAGTTCTGTGGTATGAGGATATTTGACCTTACTTGGATAACTACCCCACATCACATGTCCAAGTATTCAACAAATCTGAGGCTATTTCCTCCATTTGTAACTGAATGCACCATGCTGTGTTGACATGAGCAATGACTGACATGCTACACTATTAGAACAGTAATAATCAGCAATGGGATAGTAGAATTTTGCTTAGTTCAGCCACCAAATATAGAAGACATTCATTAATTTCCGAACCAAATGCCACTTTCTTGTAAATATGCAAAGAACTATTTTTAGATATATATATATATATATAAAATGGGTGGATTATTATTACATTGAGTGAATGATTACATTTGGATGAAACACATCATGGCTTACAACACAAATTTAATTATATACTTGGAGTTATTTACCTTCAATTGCAACATGATTATAACTGTTATCAGCCAAACTGGGAAGAAAATAACATTAAAGTATAATGACATTTGCAGAGGCAGGTTTGATACTGTTTCACTTCCTGAAAATAAGATATGAAGCATTATATATCATTATCAAAAGTAACAACTTCAAACATATCACCACTTCATTGACAGTGCAGTGACTCATTTAAGTTTATGTATAAACATGATGGAATTTATTTGTATTGAATAGATCCTTTATAGGTCTAAGTAAAGGATGTGGAACATGGAAGGTTATAACTGCATCTTGTACTTGTACTGTGGACAACAGATTTTTTGAAATGTTTCTGTTGTCACTATTAATGATAATGATAGCAAGAATAAGCTGACTAGTGGAAGATTATCAAACTCAAATAATTCCTTTTAGTGCCTGCCAAAAAATTATTCCATAAGATGGAATGGAAGCATGCTGAGCACTGTTTAGGGATAATGTATTGAATATGTTCTTTTTTGTTTCTTTTTCCAAATTAAGGTTATTGTCAATTTGTAAGCCAAGAAATGTGGTTGTTTCTACTTCTTCAATTGTTTTATCATCATATCCTATATTTTGATTGATACAAATTTTGTAGTAACAAATTTTATTAGTTTGTTTTGTAAACAATTAATGTTTGTTTGTTCAAGCTGGCAAGGACATTATTCATTGCATTTTTGAAAACGGAGTGGTTAACACTCCGTATTCGTGAGATCCCGGGTTCCAATCTCGGTCCAGAGACCGGCTTTTTTAGGTTTTCCTCAGTCCCGCCAGGCAAATGCCGGAATAGTATCATAAATTAGGTCACGACCGCTACTGAAAAAGCGTCGTTAAATAAACTACAATTAAATTGAAAGAAGTCGATTTATGGATGTGATTATATATATTCAACACATGACGAGTTTCAGAATTACTTTCAGACGATACAATGCTGCAATGCGACAAGTTTGTAACGAAAGTAATATTAAATTAAATTCTGTCTTACAGAACTATCTCAAAACCTCATGACAATTGTTTTTATTGTTACATGAAGGGCAAGAAAAAAACGTAATGTAAAAAGTTCTTTCTTACTGTAATAGTTACAGTACGCTAAAGGAACTAATACTACTACCTTTCCAGCATTCCGCCATGTTTATAATGTCTGTTTCAGACCGGGAAAATTTTAGTTGAAATGTTGGTCACATTTTAATCATAAGAAGATCATTTATAGGAGATAATCAAGAAATTGCCATGACGTTTGCAGCCAGACTGTTTAGTACAAAATCCAAGAAGACTGTCATCATCATATTTTTAAAATTAATTGTTAAGGGGGGGGGGGTTTAACATGTAGGGTAATAGTTAATGTAACTGGCCGCCAGAGTTTTCATTAAGTAGTTTCATTGTAGATGCTGATAGATGGCAGGACAATATGTACTTAACGTCGTAGGCTACGTGTGTTGCTAACCGTAGACATTGTGTCAATGTATCTGTTTTGTTCCTCAGTATTTACATCAGTAATAAACCTTTCATTTATTCGTTAACATTTATAAGTAAAGTAACCATGCAATATTACCGCGTGGATGTTTTCAGGAAACTTCTATGTACGTTCAACTGCAATTTTAGATGGAATCATGAATTATGCACGTAATAATAATGAATAAATGTTTTAATATCATATCAGATAATGTTAAATGTTTTATATTTATAGGTAATAATGCCACACCAAATATTATACAAGTGGCAGGAGTCAACTATTTTGCACCACCACCGAAGTACGATCGTAAGTTTGTTGGCATGCAGTACATTTAAACCAGGGGCAGGCAAATTGGCTCATTGATACTGAAAGATGGAAATGAAGAAAATACGCCTTTAGTGTTATAAGTAAAAATCAGATAATTATATTTGATTGTTACCGTAACATAAGATCTTGGTAACACATAAAGCAGGGCTGTCACATGAATAAGCACATCATCATGAAGGCATATAAAAGGGTGCAGGTAAAGATTTATAAAGTGAAGTTTTCGCGGCGACCGAAGTTGATGAAAGACTCTCGGGCAACAAGCCGTGTCAGATGGCTGAATGTTGAATGAACCATTTCTTCTGCTCTCGAAACATTGGTGGAAGAAATGGTTCATTTACCATTCACCCGCCTGATACGACTTGTTACCCAAGAGTCTTTCATCAAGGTAAAGATGTACTATACTAGATTGAGCTCCACACCCTGATTACAGCACCAGTGGTGAAACAAACAAGAATCTCTGCTCTTTCAGGAAATGAAATCCAGCTGACTAAGCTATCCCAAGTGTTACAGACTTATAATTATGTACATGCTACTTCTGCTAAATGAATAAGGTGAATGGTGAAATAAAATCCTGTGGAATGAAATTATCTTGATAGTGAATGCATGTTTGAAATGAGCTGCATATAATTGCTGTCCTTACATAAATGGAATATGCCTTTCATTTCTCTTCACCTTCATTAGGCCATCTCATACCTACACAATGCCACCAGAGGTCCTGTGAGACAAGTTTATCAAATAGTATTAATTTCAGGTACAAAATGTAATTGTCAAGTGTGATAGCACAAGTAGTAAGGTGATTGGCGAGAGGATGGATGGTAGAGTTAAATTGTTGATGTTTGCTTGGATTTTTAGATGCATTCACAGTTAAGTTGCAAAAATGCATCGGCTAGCTTTGCCAAATCTGCTTGTCACTTGTAACAACTGAAGAAAAAGTGAACAGATTTTTAATGAAATTTGATATTGGGGAGTTTTTAGTATGTTGTTATGTTGTGCAAACATTTCCTGACATGTTTTCATTACCACCATGTGCAAAATGTCTTTTGGTACTTGCCCAGTCCCCTTTCCAATTTGTACCAGTACTATTTCTGTGAGATGTGACTGGAGAGAGGGAACTGGAATTTCTTGCATCTAATACCTAGAATGTTTGGAGCTTTATGCCCATGCTCTTTATATGCATCATAAGGTTAGGAACAGGGGCAACATTACCTATTAATTTATATTTTCGTCTGTTTAGATGTTGAGTTTCCAGAAAGATCTAAACTCAGATATATGGATAAAGTGCCACTGATACACGGAAACATGCGACCTCCAAAGATGACTAAGAGCCTGAAGTTTATGCGTGGACCAGAAACGGTTCACAATTTTCTTCTTCATCAGCAGTTTGGGATTATTGTAAGTATAATCACATTTAACAATATTTTCTGAGTGATATATTGCTGTTTAAGCTGCTACAGTTGCACAGCTAAATATGATGCTTGTAGGACAAAGTTAAATAATATTAAATAATAACAACAACAGTTGTAATAGTAGTAACAATAACAACAACAATGACAATGATTGTGATGATGATGATGACAACAGTAGCAACAATGATAAAATGTAGTGCCAAATTTTAAACTTGTGGATGACCAGTACAATGCACTATTCTTTAGAAGACAAATATTTTTGTACTCACCACTGCAAACATCTCAAATTCTACTAAATCTTCAATATGTTTGACATTCAAAATAGTGTATAAATGACATTTAAATAAGTTGATCTCACACGATCAGTATGTAATAAATTTGAATGGTGTAGCAGTGTTCAAGCTGAGCAAATTACTGAATAACTTGCGCTATATTTTGCCTTACCTATTCTTGATGTTGGATAATGCAGCTGTAATTATCAAGGTTATCACTAAGAGGTTATGTCATGCTATGTGTTATATTGGGCACAACATAGAAGGTTGAATGCACGTTAGGTTACACTTTCGAGCGTCTAATCGTTAGAAAGTAAAATGAATAGAAATAATTCTCTTACTTTTATGCAAGTATAATTTTTGTGCAAAGAATTATTTGTAATGTTATTTCTTAACTTTATTACTTTTTCTTGTACAGGAGATTAATTTTAACTGATACTCTTTTAATACCCAATGCATTTCATATTATCATTTAATGAAATTGAATAAGTAACAGCGTTTTAACAATGAAATGCATTATTAATTACACTCTTTATAGAAGAATATATACTATGTTTCTTACATTTTTATTACATTTATTAAAAAATATGTATTTTTCATATCTCCTTATTGACACTTTTCCTATTCCATAAAGTTACTTGTTTATTTGTGTGCTTAAAAATAGGCATTAAGTGGAGGTCGTATGAAATGGGGTCATTTTGAAATGGTTCGCCTAGGAGTTTTACGAAAGATGGATCAAAATCGAATGTTTGCTGTATGGAGAATTGATGCACCATGGCAACCAATTACAAAAAAGGTACCTGGCAACTCTTTCTTTGTCTTCTATTGTTGCTGATTTGTAAGTGATTTGACCATAATTGGTTTGTCTCTCGGCAGCACTGGAATAACCAAGAATTTATGAATTCATGTAATGGCACTATAATAATACTCCAGCCATTCAACCTTCTTCTTCTAATTCTTCTAGTGGCTCTCCAGTCGGTATTCGGTCCATGGCCTCCTCAATTCTCCTCTTCCATTCGGTCCTCTGTTAGGTCCGTCTGTCCGAGGCTTTGATCGAGGTTTCGAAACATCTTCCTTTTTACAGTGCAAGATTGTTAGCCTTGCGACCAACCCCCAACCTGGAGGACCATCAAAATTTGATTCTGAGAAACAGGTCTCTTTGAGGTCCTTTTCTGTGCTCCATTTTTGTTCTGTGTCATGATGTGATTCAAGTCTATGGGTCCATAGGTCATAAGTCCTTAAAACATTTTTAGTTTTATTCTGATTCTCTTGAATGTAATATTGTTAGCAGTATGTGTTTGAGGACCATTGAGACATTTGTATTCCTTCTGATGTCCTGGTTTATTATTGAGATGCTTTCAAAATTTTCTTTTTTGGGAATTGTGGTGAATTGCATGCCAGTGGTCATAATTTTTCCAGAGTTGGCTGAAATGTTTGTTTTTTAATGTTATAAAAGATATGTTATTACTACAAAGGTAACTTCATGAGACTGTTTGTTAGCTGTACTGAGATAATTAATTTACAGTGTAACTGTGCTGGGTTTGGTTCAGACTTTTTGAATTTCTTCTTAAGTGCAGAATTTAATTTCATGGGCATTACTTCAAGTTTCTTAAATGTGATGGGAGTTAGAATTAGTGTACATGACATGCTCATAAATAAAGCATCATAGACTGCATTTCATATTTATTATGCACTTTGTTGTAATACCCATAATTTATATCCCAAAGTTTGTTAAGAGGACAGAAGTAAAAATAATGTTGCATTATAGCAATCAGTAATATTTTGTAACAAGAAGCAGAGCACCATATGGGATTTTCCGAGAGAGATAGTGAAAGTAATTCATTATCGGCTAGCTGGGGTAGACTATCTTTTCTATAAAAGTTACATATATTTTATAATATATAATGCAAATTGTAATTGAGAAACTAATAAGGAACAGTATACAAATATAAATTGCTTCTCAGTTGTGTAAAAGCTTTTTGTTACTATATAAAATAATCACTTTTAAAAACTTACTTACGTATATTTGTACAAAGAATTTGTTTTATTGGACCCACAACTTACAACATACAGAAATATATGCAAAATAAATTGTAGGCTGGATGACAAGGGTTTCATTCCCAGCAGGGGGAGATATTTTACTCTTAACTGTTGCATCACATTTGCTCTGGGGCCCATCCAAACTCCTTTATAATGTTAAAACTTTGCATACCGTGTGGTGTATTAGAATATAAAATAAGTAAACATACAACTATTAACACTATAAAAAGACACTATTGCCATGTTGCAATAGTGTCTTTTTATAGTGTTAATAGTTGTTTGTTTACTTATTTTATATACCTTTATAATGGATACCAGAGGCTCTTTCCTTGATGATAAAGCGACTGGGTTGTGAAGCTTACAGCAAACCTCTATCTAGTGCTGAGGTTGGGAATATGTGGAGTTGTATCTTCTCTCCTATTACACCTTTATGGCGTAATGCTTAATTAAACATGGGGACAATTTTATGTTTGCTTTTACTATTAAGTACCTACTAACTTTTATTGCTACTATATTATACAATTTCAGTGCAATTTATTGTTCAATGAAGCACTCTTGACCTTTCAGGGCCTGGGTCAGCGTATGGGTGGTGGCAAGGGACCTATTGACCACTATGTAACACCTGTCAAAGCAGGAAGAGTCATTATAGAAATGGGAGGAAAGTGTGAATTTGTAGAAGTAAGTTATGTATTTTAATTGCTATCTCCTGATAAATTATTTAAGATATATGTAGTCCATGTGTATGTTGCCCGTGCGCATGTGCACATACACACATGTCCAGATATTGCAGTGGAGTGTACTTTCAAGGATCTTGTTGGCACATGCGTGGAGAGCTAGATTCCAGGTCCAAGGAAGGCGCGTATTTTGTGCTGTAGTCAGCCACTTGCTACGCTTACATTCCTGATATGATATAAAAGGTATATTCCATGTAAAGTTCTCCCATGTGTATGAAAAGAACAACAAATTTGAAACTACTGCGGTTTCCCTGTGCAATTCCTGCCTGTTTTCTACTTGAGAGGTATAATAGTTTATCATTTATTGTTTCTGTAGAGTAAAATTTGCATATCATTGTATTATTGCATAAATTACCACCTGCATTATATTTGTTTACGGGCATTTACATTATTTGTTTAAAAACAAGGTGATTTGATATTAGACAAGCATGTTTTAGCGGTGAGTTATACATTAAAAAATACTGAAATAAATTTGTAAATGTGGGTCAAAAATCGATAGTTTTTAAATTTGGGCCTATCTTACATGCTGGAATTTGGTGTATGAAGTTCCTGGTGAGCATAACTAGTGGCCATACACAGATTGAACACACAGCTGTATGGCAATTGGTGTTTCCTATTATTATTGAAATGTCATAAGTGAATAGTGCAATAGAAGTGTACCAGTCAGTCACCATCCAACTGCACTATCATCTGGCAGATGTTGAGATTAAGACTGGTGAGGGGCATTTGTGTTGAATTGAAAGGTGAAGATTTCTGTCTTCTGGGTTGTTGCGCTGTGTAATATGGTAGATGTTTACCAACGTTTCAGAGGTCATACTGCCTCCGTCATCAGAGTATGAAGATTTCTGTCTTCTGGGTTGTTGCGCTGTGTAGTCTGGTAGATGTTTACAAACGTTTCTGAGGTCATAATGCCTTCGTCATCAGAGTATGAAGATTTCTGTCTTCTGGGTTGTTGCGCTGTGTAGTCTGGTAGATGTTTACCAACGTTTCAGAAGTCATACTGCCTCCGTCATCAGAGTATGAAGATTTCTGTCTTCTGGGTTGTTGCGCTGTGTAGTCTGGT